CTTGTGTTGACATTGTTTGACCTTTAAGATTTCATGATTTTGTACATACGGAGATTGAAATATTTACTGTTATTGAATTTCTGTATACAATGTCACCATGCCTAGGGTATACAGATGACCTGGCGATCGAAGGCAAGTTCGCAGGTACAATATCAGACGACACACATACCGCTCTAAACATCGTTAATGAGTGGTGCAAAGGGGAGGAACTAACAGTAAATCCTCACAATTTCACAATTGTCAACGAAAAGTATTGACAGGACTAAGGTCACCAGTACTGAAGGGAGTGGATAATCTATTTGTCAAAGAGGCCAAATACTTGGGTGTCATCTTTGATCACAGGTTATCATGGAATCAATACTTGCAAAAGTCATTCAAAAAAGCCCAATATCCTTTAACTTATGTCGAAGGTTGTGCGAAAAAAATTAGGAATACAACCAAAAATATCTCTATGGCTGTATACCAGAGTCATTAGAGCAATTTGATAGCTCAATGGTATTAAATGGCAAGCACATTTGAGAGCAATGGTAGCCAAGAGAACGACTCCAACAGAAGCCCTATAAGTCATGCTAAACCTAACACCACTACATATATTCATTTAAGGCGAAGTCAGGTCTGTCATATACAGACTGCACAAAGGTCCATCACACATAAGTAATCTGCATGGACGTGACTATAGCGGGATGTACAAATAGTTGGTGAAATGCGGCGAAATACTTCTAAAATATAGCTTTCAAAAGCAATATAAAGTATACCTATCAGACAGGGAAGCGTGAACGGGAATACTTCTTATTCACGCAGAAATCACGTGGTATACAGACGGCTCCTAACCCTATAAAGGATCAGAATCTTACTGAGCTCAGGTAAACATCTGACAGTATTCCAAGCAGAAATAGCAGCAATGAATAACTGCGAAAAGTAGGTATTAAGACATAAGGTAAATGGAAACACCATTGTCATATACTCAGACTGTCAAGAGATGTTAAAAGCACTCAGTTTCATGCAGGTACACTCAAAGCTTGTTTTGGACTGTTTGAAAACCCTAAGAAAGCGGGGTGGTCAAAACAGAGTAACCTTAGCCTGGGTATCAGGCTACAGATGATATAAGGACAATGAAGAGGCTACTAGTCCGAGAAGAAGACTCAAAAGCTTTTATTGGCCCATAACCTATCTGTGGTATTACAAACATATATCAAAACTTGCACAAAGCGGTGGATCTCAGAGACAGGCCAAAGAGTTCTAAAAAAACCATTGCCAAAAAATACTAGAGTACTTCTAGGCATATTAACAGGGCTTGTAGGTTTAACAAGACCAAGGGCAACTAGCTACACCGGAAATCTACTTCCTAACCTATGGAGTCTATTACAAAAGACCAAACTAGACAAGGATGTCCAGAATAGATCTGAAAAGGTCGAGGTGGGGGAGGCTGCATGGCCCACAGTCCTAACGAATTCTAATCTAATCATGCTTGATATCAATTTATAGTTGAATTTTATGTTTGCATTAGAAAACTGTTAAAAATGAATTATTAATTCTTTTCTTTTTTGATAAATATGTCATCAACTAAATTATTGGATGAGGAAATTAACAAATACAGCTCAAAAGGTTACCTATACAGGGTGTTTCCGAACTTGGCGTCCAAATTTGTAGGGGTGGTAATTCGTGTAATTTGAAAGCGATTGGCAGATTTCATTTTTCTAAAAAAAATATAATAAACAAAATAAAGCCATTATAAAAATAATCAAAAAGCGGATCCTACCCTGAGCGCGTAGCGCAATAGTCGCCTGATCGGTTACTCATCGGGATTTACAACTCAAAAACAGATGCGATTTGCAAATTTCTCCCTCCGCCCGGCCGGTATCGAAAGACGTAGCCGATTGTTTTTCTAGTGCGTATTGCTCGAGGCGATTCCATCGCCGTGCAGGACCGTACCTGTTTTTTAATTAATTTATAATTATTTTTATTTTAAATATTTTGGAAAAATGAAATCTGTCAATCGCTCTCAAATTATTCGAACTACCACCCCTACAAATTTGGACGCCAAGTTCGGAAACACCCTGTACAATTAAATATGTAAATATCGATGAATTGCAGCTTTTGCTCAACCAAAAATTATGGTGATTAATAAAAAGCATCGAGTTTATTTAGTGTAATGTTCCTAACTAGATTTATGGAAAATAACACAAGATACGATATTTTGTTATTTGACCGCTATCAGCTACTAGAATACAAATTTAATGTAAAAAATATGTTCCTGACATCATCCCATTACGTTATCTTTTGTATGATTGTCTTCTACTCTTAACACGCATCTTTACAGCTTTTCTAGTGCTCTTCTCTGCGCAAGTCTCAACCACCTAAGCCTATTTATTTCAAATTTTGTCTTGTCTTGTTCTGTTACTCCATGTCAGCATTCTTCAACGTGTATTTTGGTCTAGCCGTAATATTAATAAAAATTTCGCTTTATTTGGTTTTGTAAACCGGGTTTCAAGTACTTGAACGCCTTTTTGTCATCGCTTGTCTGCAATTCCATGATCACCGAAAATTCTGTTAAGTCTATAGACTTTTTGCTTCCTACTTCTTTCTTCAACTATCTTTTTCTAGCGACCACCATCACAGCACCGCCATACTAAACTCCACGGGATTTCCCCCTGTATATCTCCCGTAATGTCATCCAACACCAATGAGACCAGAAATGGTCCAAAGACTGAACCTTGCAGACCTACCTTTTCTACAAATTCATTGATATCTCCAGTTGCCGTGGCTTATTCTTCTACGTACCTCTCCTTAACTATTTCGACATTTGAAGGGCTTTAAGGAAAAGTAGTACAAGTAACATTTTACTGTGAATTTGACAGGTCATGCGATAGCTCCCACCACCGAGACATAGCACATGTTGTTCATCCGTTTCCCCTGTACCCAAATACAAATAAAGACGAAACCGTACCATTTTTTGCAGTCAGATAAGGTACTATGACTTATCTGACGACACAAACAAATTTTAATTGTAAACACGCACCTACTTATCTCTATTCCTTTACAAAAATAAGAGACGCCGCCTCTGCACAATTTAACTGAATTCGAGTCAAAAAAAAAAACGATTGGCTTATATTTGTGGAACGTAGGTTCATTATTAATTCATGCAATTATTTGTTAAATAATTGTTTTGGCTAGTACGTTCGCGACTTTTATCACCTATTCATACCGTGATACCCTATAAGTAATTCATTCAATGTTACCGATCTGTTACTCTTTACAGATTACAAAAAAAAAACACTTAATATTGTGGTTTTTATTTGTTTCTAATCGGAATTCTAATACCATTACAATCAACGTATTCTAATTTGTGTTGTTGGTAAGTTTTCATGTGTACTATCTTTGCTGAGAACGTTCGATCTATTGAGTAATTAGTATTTGTAACGTAATTGTGAAAGAATTTTTTAGATTTAGCGTTGATTTCATTACTTTTAAGTAGGTATAATAAGGACGTGACTCGTGATTAAAACTTGGAATTTTCCATACACGACAATATGTTTGGATCATAAAAGTGTGATTATTTTTCTGTTATACTTTTTTTTTATTTATTTATAGGTCAAGTAGATGTCTTTTGCATGGAATTTATTTAAAAAGATTGTGTTTAACAGATTACAAAAATTTGGATTGTTTAGTGTAAGTCGCGTAAAACATTTTAATATCCAGTATAACATTTTTGTATTTTGTTTTATTTATACTTCAGAAGTTCTTTCCATAACTAGATATGAGATCAAAACCCTCTCCAGGGTATCCCTTCCTTTTTAGATAACTGATAATCATTTTTCTCAATTAATTTGGTTGAATTTTTGTTTCTGATTTAAACCGAGAGCAAATTGCAATACATTCAGCTCAAAGATTTACTTTAGATATTTGTTAATCGCATAAACAACATACCAATAAAGATTAATTAATCAAAGTTGATATAGTTTCACACTAAATGATAATACACTTGTATGAACTTTAAAATTGATATTATGTTCGGATTCTTGATTCAAAATGTTATTAAAAAAACTTAGTTGCGTTGCTAGTATACCCAGCCATTAACTATGCTTCAATATTTACCAATTTGATATACTTACTTTATCTGTTATTTTTAGATTAAATATGTTTTATTCATTAAAATGTTTAGGTTTCTGAAAAGTTGATGTATAAGTAAGTTAAATTACTGTTAAAATAAAAACAATATTCAGAGTTTAAATAATTGAAATTCTTAAAATGTACCATTTCTTTATTTGATCATTTAAATTTAATTCGGTTCTTTATAATGGGTAAATATGTTACTTTACCTTTACCCATCATTATTGAGTAAATATACTGGATAATCCAGCTTTAAAAAGTGATTTTTTTTCATTTAAAGGTTGATTGTTTATTCTTAATTTTTGGCACTATTGTAATCATACAAATAATAAATTAAATACTAAATAATAATATTTAATTACAAATTAAAATATGATATTACCTATATAGGTTGAATATTTCAAGAATCTGTTTTTCACATTTATTTATTTTGGTATACAAATATATTTTCAATAAATTATAAAAGGAATTCATTAAGCTCTCATCGAGACAAGTGTGTTTTAAATTAAATATTATGATATTCATTCGTTCAACCATTTTTCATTCAATCGACATTTTTATCATTCGACGATTTCGTAGAAGTTATTCGAACACATCCGAATTGTTGAGAACACTTGCTTGCAAGTAAAAAAGAAATGTGTCATTGTCAATAATGACATCATACGAAATGCATAAGACCTTCAATGTGCAGAGTTACAATTTCTTGAAACAACTCTTCGATATCGTCAATAACAAATATTTATTTGCATCGTTTTATTCGGCTTTAAATTCGATTACTGAATGTTTATTTTTTGAAGGCTGGACGTTTTTCGCGAGGTACACCTGGAATTTATCTTTAAAATGTTTTTAAAGCTTTCCCCGGTTCTTAAGATATGTTATCTTTGTTTCAGATGTCAGCTGGATCTCAGATACAGATGGCACCACAGTCAACAGTCAACACAACTCAACCAGTACATAGCCAGGACTCCAATATGAGTACAGGTAATTATTGAAACATTCATTTTTTGGACAAAAAATAGTTTAATATTAATGCGTAAGATATATTAATCATAATATCTAAACCCTAACTAACCAATTTGTTGTTGGAGATACAGCTTTCGTTTTTTTTTCTCTTTGGATTTAAAGTGTTATATCACTACCAATTTTTTCAAGAAACTTATTTCCTCATTTTGATAAGGAACTTAATAGTATTATTAACAATTTGAACTTCATATGAGGCTGTTATTTTTTTGTTGACACTTTTCAAATTATACAGTATGTTATAATCTTTCAAATAACACTTCTCTAATGTATTCAATATATTTGATTGTATTTTTGTTATATTTTGGATTATTATTGGTAAACAAAATAGAAAATAACATCATCTGGTGGTATACTGGGTGGTCACTTTTAATATAAAAATATTGCTTTAAATGATCAATATTGCAATCGTAAACTGATGGTAATACAAAGTTGGTTAAATAAAATAAAAATTGTATATTTCAAAGCCCAATCTTGGGATGTTTTGAAATCTATATCAGGACCGGTTTTAGAGATATCGAGTAAAATACAAATTAATTCAGTTTATTTAATCTACTACAAGCCATTTATTTTTAATGCTTTAAAAACAGTTGTGTACTCGTGATGAATTTCAATAGTTATTTAGTGAAATTAAGAAATTATACCAGTTTATTTTTGTCGAATATCTTATCAAACTTTTCCATTTTACCAACTTGTGTAGCCAACGTTTATAAGAGATATCAATAGAATTTAATTAAAAAGTAGCCCACTGTATATGTACACTCTAACTTAAATAAAAATCTGGTCCCTATGGCTGTCAAATCTTTTTATTAAATTCTTGAACAAGTTATTCAGTGCATAATTTTAAACTCTAATATGTATGAAAAGTTTTTTATATTAAATCATTCAAACAATTATTAATTATTTTAAATTCTGTTAAATTACTCTTATACAGGCCCGAATTTTTAAGACCAAAAATGTACTATATAATGAGTTGAACAAGGTATAATAGGAACATATTAACCAGAGACCGCTGTCGCTCGTCGCGCATGAATCTGTATATGTAGTGAGTTGAGCAGAGGTTGAAGTAGTATCTATTCTCGCTGACAGCGGTCTCTTTGTTATGTGCTTGTTCCTATTAAATTTTGTTTAACTCGTTGTAAAATATACTTTTCATATTGAGAAATACAAAACTGTATATAATTTTCAACTCTCGAGAGACTCTTGAAGCTTCAATTTAATTCAGTTTCAAATGAATTAGAAGTGTCTTGAGAATTGAAGATTAATGAATATTTTTATTAACAAGTGCTTTGATAATAAAATGAAATAAAATGCATAATTTGGGAAAAGCATTTTGTATCTTGTATAACCGAATAAGGATAACAGATTAATTGTGTAATAGAATGTATATTTTAAACTCATTTTCATCATTACAATATTGTTTATTTTGTTTAAAGACTATAATTTTCACACTACTGCTTTAATTTATCAATTATATTATAATAAACCTCATTAGTTGGACGAAAGGTGCTTAGAGAAATCTTCGGAAATTTACCTATTTGTTGTTAAAAGGTGTGGGAAAAAACTTGTTCTGATATCTAATCTTCTTTTATAATAAACTGCCTATTATTAATTATTATTATCTGTAATAATATTATAAGTATACCGATTTAAATAAAATTCGGTCCAATCTAGATACCAAAACCCATTTTAATATTTTTCAAGCGAAACAGTAAAATGTTTAACATTTGCCCGAAATACATTTTTAAATCATTATATTTTTGCGATTCTTAAATTTTATTTGACGAATTTATGGAATTTGTATTTTTGGTAGACAGTTTAAATTCTTGCAATTTTTAATTATGAATATCTTATTTACATGGTACGAATATTAATTAATGAAATCGTCACGCAGATTTTGGAAAATTTATTAAATGAATAATTCTAAAATTCTTTACCAATTATTTGAATGATCGTTATGACTACGTAACTATTACATTTGGGGCAATTTATATCACAAATTGTGAACAAGTGAAAGTAATTGTAATTTGTTCTATCCACTATGTGACAGGATTCGAGTTGTAATATAAGCTAAAATCAAGTGACCTTTTTATAGTCTCTTCAGTTATGTATACGGGGTGTTTGTAAATAAGAGCGAAATATTTTAGAGGTTGGTTGTCGAAATTATTTTTATTTAAGTTAACGGGATAAAGTCAGTGGTGCATCATTTTTTAATTACAAAAAGTTGTGGTATTTCGCACGAACGCCACTGGGGCATTAGAAATAATTCGTACCACCCCAAAAAAATTTAACCCTCCAAAGCGTTTTTCAAATTTCGAGTCAATACCATTAAAACTCTTTGAAATAATAAAAATTAATAAAAAAATTAAATTTAAACTCTATATCTCGGAAACGAAGCATATTTAGAACTGCATTTGTAGGAACTTTTTTTAACAACATAATTTCGGCAACCACTCTAAAATCGTTCGCACTTATTAACAAACACCCTGTATAAAATTAGTCTTTATAAACAAATCGAAAATTTTATCAGGACATTCGTTCAAAGTAAAAAACAAGTATTATTCTATGAATCCGTTTTTGTAAATATTATTTTTATCAAGTTTTATATCTACCTACCTTTATATCTACCTACCTTTAGAGTGATTACTTCAGAAAATACACGTATGACACGTTGGATTGAGTGATACTTCATTTTAACGTTTTCTTTAAGTATTTTGGAATAGGTTACATGAAAACTCTTAGTTGATGTCACCAACTTTGAAGACATAATGATTGGCTTATTACTTACTATAGTTTATTTGAGAATGTATGATAGTCCAGTTTTTATGACAAAGGTCTATATACAGGATTGTTCAAAACAGAAAAAAGTAAATATTGATACCTTTTTATCTGAATTTTTACTAGATTTTAGTATGACCATCTCGAAAAATCTCGAATACATCATAAAATGTAAATGAGCAAGGGATTAACCAATAATTCTATACATCAGTGACGGGGGGAACAAATTACTTTAATATAAAAAATAGTAAACTGTTAATATTAAGTACCCACATTTATTTTTATAAAAATAGTGTACTAGATATTAGGTTAGGACATTTCCTTAAAATTTAATAATAAATATACACACAACCAAATTTATATGATAGATACACTAAAAAAAATCTTTTCTCATAAAACACTCATATTTCGTTTTTAGAAATACCTGGTGATTCCATATAAATTTGTTTGTATTTCGGGTACTAGCGTCATATAAACTTAAAATTAATATAAATATAGAGTTACATACTTAAATAAATGTCGTTTTTTCCCGATAAGGAGTCATCATCATCATCATCAGTTTCCTCACTTCCCACTGAAATAATAATTGGTTCTATTGTTTCCTCTATTAACATATCAAGTTTCCAGAATTTTTCTTCTTCTGCAATGACATGTCTTATAACGTTTTGCCAATGGTCCGGTGAAATTTTTAATATGGAGTCACATAATAGTTGACGAACAATTTGAAGTTTAAATGTTGTATTGCTTCTCGCCACATATCCCTTCATTTGAGCCCATATTAGTTCAATGGCGTTAAGTTCACAGCGATAAGGTGGTAACCGCAACACTTTAACTCTATGTTCTTTTTCTATTTTATCTACACTATACTATTTAAATTTTGGTGAATGTTGTTTACAACTGCAATAGCTCTTTTTTGAGTAATCCCTCTTCTGCCATTATTTCTTTGGTTATTAGTCAATTGGAAAATTCTTGATTTTCCATTTAGTGCTAGGTAACGGTTCCTTTAATATTGAATAGTAACTGGCATTGTCCATAACTATTACAGAATTGGGGGTCTATTCTGTAAAAATTCCTTTATATTTAACGGCCTTTAAAAATATTGGCGGCCTTTAAAAGTATATTTGTATTCGTTAATTTACTTCTGTCATTATTTAAACAGATTTCTTTAAGATAGTCCTCTAATGTATTTTAAAGATCCGTTTAAATAATGACAGAAGTAAAGAAGAAAATATTTTTAAAGGCCGTTAAATATATAGGAATATTTACAGAATACACCCCTTGGTCGGTAATAAATAAGTCATTTCTTCATGGTGGTCTTTCTTAGAATTTGAAACAAATTCTAACAAGCCTCTATCAACAAATCCTTTGCCTCCTCTAATATGAATGATAATTAAACGACGACCTCTACCATTTGGAAATTTGAAGCTAGTAAACAAACCTTTTAATGCCTAACGAGCATTTATAACCTATTTATCTTGCCACTTTTTTTACAAAGTGTCCTTCATTTATCCATGTCACATCCAAATAAAAAATATGTTTGTCTTCTCTTCTTAATTTTCTAATTTCCCTTGAAATATTGCCTCCTCCAAACAAATAATTTCATCTTTCTCTATGAGCACAGATTTTCTATCGTTCTTCACCCAAACGAAGTCTAATTCATGTAAAGTTTTTCACAATTTGTCTCTTTTAACGTTTGGCAAAGTTTCGTCTGCATTAATGTCTACTAAAAGTTTATCCAATGTATCTGTATATTAAACAAATGCACTTTTCTTCCGATCAGTTGTTTCATAGTACCGTTCATTTGAATGGGGTTTCTCGCAGTTAACGTTTTAGGTGCTACTGTAATACTTCCATTATTTCGTTGCTTCAAAAGTCTATAAATGGTTGCTTCTCCAACTCATGTACATGTCATGTACATTTAACACTACATTTTTCATATGCACGGTTAAATTTCACAGGAGTATAATTAGACGTCTGTGCCATTTTTATTGCACAAATTCACTTGATCAATATCGCTTTTTATCGCCTATTATTACAGAACTAACAATTCTGCGTGTTACAATCACAGGACTATACAAACAAATGTAAATCTTAACTAAAATAATTTACAATCTGTATAACTCTTTCTGCCGATTAGAAATTCTTTTTAAGAAAGTTGAGTGCTTCTTAAATTATTGATCTTG